TCAAATGGTGCTTATTGTTTCATACAAATAACTCACGTTTGGCTTAAGTAAAATTTAAATTTTTTAGTAAATTTTGATAAAAGTTAATAAAATATTTGATTAAAATGCTGATAATGTATGAGTGAAAATGAATTTTAAAAAGTTGGAATCAAACAAGAGGCTAAATGTGATCTAAACCGTATATGCATTGTAAATTATTCAATTTTTATTTTTTATTTTTAAGTCAAAATCTCAAATAATACGACAACCACCCACAAATAAATATTTTTCTTTTGGAATATATTATTTCCTCAAATATTTTGTCCAAAATTGTAAGAAATGATTTTTTCCAAAAGAAATTTTTTTTTTTGGAATATAATAATTCCTAAACATGATTAAAGAAGACTTTTTCGAAAAGATTATTTGCATGTTTTTCACATGACAAATTACAAAAAGATGGCTTTAACCTAAATAAATTCTTATCAAGTCAATGGATCTAACTTAGAAAATTCACTATTCAAATCAATCTGACCCTTTCTATTAGTACTTCTATATATTCCACTACTAAGAACAAAGAAGTTGAAAAAATTTACTAAACTAGGGAATGAGAAGTTCCCACGGTATCCGCATTTGTTAAAAATAAGGCTTGGTCATTTTTATTTTTTTTTTTGTTATTTCTACAAATTCTTGTGTAGCTCATATGTATCTAATCTTAAAAAAGGTTGTCCCGGGCATACCCAGTGGTGCAAAGGACATGAGTGATGTTATTTCACACTTTGCTGGTAGTCGCAGTATGGGGATTGATTTTTGATATATGGAATTAGACTCCTTGTAGGCGCAGTGTACAGGCAGCTCTTATTCCCTGGCCTGCTGGGGCACATTCCGCGATTTACCTTTTTCACAAAGCTCTAAGGACGAGACGGTAGGAGCCCTCAAGGTTGTGGTTCAATTTTTTTTTTTTTTTTTTTGTTTAAAGGCTATGAACTATGAAGGATTACTGTAGATGCAATAATAACCACACCCCATTTTACTGTGGTCAAAACGTGTGTCCACTTCAACAAAGCCCATCTTTCTCTTTCTTTCCGTACAAAATGGTGTCGGCTTGGCCTGTACAAAAATGAGTAGGGAAATTAAACGTGTTCTACACTTCAAGAAAGCCCATCTCTCTTTCTGCAATTATTTCCTCTCACTTTTAAAACACTCTCATCAGCTTTGACGATTGTTGTTGTTGGAAAAATCTAAAAATTCTATCTTCTTCTTGTCTTTGACATTTGGGTTCAAGATTTTTGAAAATCCATTTTTTTTTTCAAGTGAAGGCACATAATTCTCTTTTTTATTATTATTATTTCCTCTCACTCACTTTACTCTCTTTGTGTGGCGATATTTTTTTTTCTTGGTTAGAAAACTCTAGAAATTCCATCTTCTTCTTTTCTTTGGAATTTGGGTTCAATATTGTTCAAGATCCATGATTTTAAGGTTTTTGTTGTGTTTTTGTTGAGAGGACTATTATTTGCAAAATTTATTTGTCAATATTCCAATTTTTGCCGTATCCAGATTCCTTTTAAATGAGATTATCAAATCATTTATCTATTATTTGAAGTGTAACTAAACTTATCTCCTAGCTCATCAGATCAGATCCTGTGTTGTGATTGTGAGATTGAAAGCAAATTTGTTCACAAGTCACCTGTGGTACAGCATACAAATGGATTGTAATTGGAGGAGAAAGTTGCCATCGCCATTGTTGATTTATTAATTTCACTCCCAAAATGAATTGGCTCCTAAAACTCAAAATTTATTTATTGGCAAATAATCATAGTTAATAAAAATTTGATTAGATAAGAATCTGTAACATTTGAAGCTAATGACTAATTGATAAAAGTAGTTCATTTTCTGCTTGGTATTCTATGTTTATTTGAATTTTTAACTGTATAGACTATACTTCTCTTTTCTTCCTAATTTTATAAAATTTTATTTCAAATAAATATTAATTTTTTCTTCGAAATGACTATCATGATTAATGTCTTAGACAAAGTTCTTGTATAAATATTTCATAATACCGAATGTTTATTTTTGATACCTTCTTCTTCTTCTTTTGTTTTTTTCGTTTTTTTTTTTAACAGTTTAGCCTTTGGTAGTTATTTTTTTTCCTGTGGATAAACTAAACAGCATTGCTTCTTTTTCTTTTCCAGATTGGGCTTGAGGATGTAGGGTTTTGATCTTTTAGGGTTTGATCCTTTTTTACAGGTGAATTATTATTGGTTTACTATACATGGTTGTTGTTTATGCTGCGTCATTTTACATTTGTGCAAAATCTAATATCTGTTATATTTTTCAAAATCGTGAGTTTTTTTTATGAGGTGATGATTTGAAGTTGTGTCTTTAAGCATGTGGAGTTTTTCTTCTTCTCGTCTGGGATTTTGGGAATATAAGGACTTTATGGTATTCTCAACTTTATTTCTCGTTTCAGAAATCATGTAGAAAAAATCAGTTTACATGTTTCGTGTTCAAAAGTAAAGGGAAGTTTTCATTCTTTTTTTTATTCTTTTCCTTTCATAAACGTTCTTTCAATCTGAAATTTGTTGAAGGAATGTCTCCAATAACAAATTACTTGTTAAAGATTGGGTTTCATTTATATTGCTGATGTTTCTTAATGCTTAAACTGATCTGTTGTTTCTGTTTCAGTTGTGATGCTTGTCTGAATCTGTATTTTGGTGAGATGATGTGTGATGATTTGTGATTTTTTCCTCTCTATATACATGTGTGTGTATGTATGTACTAAGGTATGGGTTTTTTCCTTTAGGTAGTCTCATATAAGGTCTTGAAGTGTAAAAACAAAAAAAAAGTGGAACCGTCTCTTTAGAGAAATTTATTCGGTGGGTTGCTTACAAATGAAATTTTGGATGTTGAAAGAAAAATGTTGAGTATTCTATACAAAGAGTTAGTAGTAGCCTCTCTCTTTTAGTTCGCCACAGCTTTCTTTTCTTTCTTTTTTTTTTCCACGAAAATCTCGTCGATTTCAAACCCAGCACTTACAATTTATACCTCGACTGTAACTGAATGGAATTTTGTGAGAATCCCTCTTTCCACCGTTTGGATAATTCTTGAAATATATAGAGTATTCTCTCTTTGGTATGAAGAAACTAGGGAGATTAAAAAAATTGGCAAATTTTTTTCCCACCAAATAAATAAAGAAACCAGGGAGATAATAAAGAAACTGGAAAACAAGTATTTTTACCTAAAATTCCATTCATTCCACTAAAAGTTGACAAACAGTAAATACCATTTAAAAGAACTCAGTTTTTAGTTCGTCCTTATTTTGCGATGACTATTAACAAAGCTCAAGGTCAAAATCTAGATTTTATTGGCTTATATCTTCCTGAATCTGTATTTTCATATGATCAATTGTACGTCTCATTGTCCAAGGCTAGAACAAGAGAAAATATAAAAGTTTTGATTAAACCTTCTATCAAAAATAAATCACATACTTGTTGCGCCAAAAATATTGTTTATCATGAAATATCGAATTTAATACATATCAATTAACCATTTCTATGTGCTTGCAACATTTTGCAAATGGTTTGAATTTATGTTTTTTATGTTGCTTCAATAAATACAAATGCATCTTATACAATATAGCTTCTTGTAGTTAGAATTATGCCATGTTTTTAAAAATTTATCATTAAGTTAGTAAATGGAAGTTTAAAGCATATGAATGTCGTAGAATAACTCATGTGTTAATATAATTATTGGAATATTTTACATTAGATATCAGTTAGGTCATGCATTTTCTCTTTGGCAATGTTTATTTAATCAACTTTCATGTGTTTTCTAATTTTGTTTTGTATTATTTGCCTTCTTCCATTCATCCTAAAGAATTGAAAATGAGTACCTGTATTGTTTCTGATATCATACATGTTCTTAAATTCCATAAGTATATTGTTATAGAGTGTTTCTTTTGCTTCTTAGTTTGGATTATTAGTTGTTCACTTCACAGTGTTACCATGAAGAAATATACTCACGATGCTACCAGTGCAGATCGTGAAGGTGATTTTACTCATATCATTCAGGTTGTAATTTAGTTTACTTCCAATACACTAAATATACCAACTTCTTATTCACTTTATTAAAGAACTAAGAAAGCAATTAAATTCTTTTCAAGGTAAATATTCAATCTGTCCATTACTTGTTCTTTCTTTTTTATTTTATTTCCAGACTATAAAATATAACTGAAATATTATCTTTGGCTCAAAGATCAACAGAATTTGCTACATGATTGAGAGTTTTGAAGTTGTAAAAATGTTCAGGGAGATTGGTCAGGGTGTCATGGTCAGTCACAGCATGTATGAGAGTTAGCTAATAAATGATACATTTTGATGAATACAACTTATTTTGTAAGGAAGATGCTATATGTACCAAATCATTTACCAAATAGATGATCGAATTGACAAGTGTCGTGTCCTTATTGGAGTGGACAGGCGCCCCTCCATAATCGGTCAAAAATTATGTAAAACATTTGGTTGTGTACAGTGAAGAGACTGAAGACACTTCTAATGCTAATCTTTTCGTCAGTTTAGTAATGGTACAATGCAGTTTAATCTCTTCAGTAAGTTCTACTTCATAAATGTTGTTGAATCTTCTCCTACCACTGTGAGCATGCAAGCATAATTCTGGTTTTCATATAACTCTACTTCAAAAGCATGGTTCTGGTTTTCAAATATATCCCCTTCCATTTTTTTTAAATTTTTTATTGTGCTCTTAAATGACTATATAACTACATTGTCCTTTTATTTTTTTATGTAATGAAAAGTTTAACTTCAGTCTTAACACTAACTAGAAACTTAAATATTTTCCTTCATTTGTATTATTTATGTGTACATAAATTTATATTGTCTATTTACATAAATTTATCTCAACAATCACATATAATAATAGTTTTACAATTCTATACAGTAAAGATTTAGCCATATTTTATTTTTATTTTATAATAAAACTTTTTTTTTTTCCTAAAGTATATGGTATGATTATGACTCAATACTCATTAATTTATGGTCGTTCTTGTACTAGCTGAAGCCTCAACAGTGACCTGACTTGCTTGCCCATATCTATCTGCTAATTGCAGCACTGATTTCACCATACCTATGGTTCAATACTAATCCAATCCCATCCCATTTTTGTTTACTTTTTTCCCTTTGTTTTTTTCATTCTTCATACGTACGCATATAAAAAGACTTTTAATTTCAGTCTTAAGACTAACTAAAAACTTAAATATTTTTCCTTCATTTGTGTTATTTATTAAGTGTTTTTAAAAGTAAATAATATATACATTTTCTATTTGCATGATTTTATCTCAACAATCATCAATAATAATAACATTACAATTCTGTATATAATGGAGGAGGCCTAGTGATATTTTTAATTTTATATTTAATATTAATAAAACTGAGCTTGTTTTCTGATGTATATGGTGTGATTTTCACTCAATAATCCTTAATTTATGGTCATTCTTGTAGTAACTGAAGTTTCAACAGTCAACTAATTTACTTGCCTATATATGTCTGACAATTGCAGCAGTGATTATACCATAAAATATTGATACTTATATCACTGTAGTGTACATGCTGATCTTACTCTCTTTCTTTTTTTAAAAACTTTGACGATTTATATCTGGACCACTTCCTCTACAAAGATAATACATTTGGTTGTAAGAAAAATTCATTTTCGATTCTAAACACAAAAACACTACACTCACTTAAGTTACCTAAATACAAGATTACAAAACCTCCACCTCCATTACAAGTCTTAGAATGGAAGAACAATGCCAACTAATACCAGAAATTGTGTCAAACAATCAAAAGTGGAGAGTCAAGGTAATTATAGTAGAAAAACAATCACCAAAACCTTCAAAGCAAGGTAATGGAAGGTATCAACATTTGATCTTAATCGATACTCAGGTAACTCTTGTTCATTACACATCTTAAATACTGAGGTTTAATTAAATGTTACATTTAGTTATACTCTATTGTCTTATTTATCCACTATTTGTTACACATTTTTTTTCTCCAGTTTAAGAAGAAAATAGACCAATTTAAATGTCCCATTTGCCATGATTTTGTTGACTTTCATCTCACATTTGCCTTGAAAATGTGAGCTCCAATGTTTTGAGTAACCCATATTAATTGTGGAAAAACAAGCAGCAAACAGAGGATTAAAAACTATTAAGGCTTTTCACTGTGCTATACATTTTTTCATCTTTATTATTGAAGAACATATACATGCTAATATTTATAAAACTCCTTCCTATTTTTATATGATTCAAATATCACTGCTTTTGGGGATCAGCTTGTTCTCTCATGTCTTCATTTACTAATACTCAATTCTTATTCACTTTAGGGGCTAGAGCATAGGTGCAGCTATTAGATGTCACGATCTCGCTCAATGCAAATGCAATTGGTGAAACAGCTGAAAAATTGCTATTTACAAGTTCACAATCTTTGATGGAGCAAACCAATTCTGTAAAAATTTCAACCTAACTTGAACATTTTGCCATTCCATACATATTATACTCAAGTGATATCAATACATTACATGATTAAACACAGGGTTCACAGACAAACTTTCAAGCTGTCATTCAGAAAATGCGAAACACTGAACGAGCTTTTCTACTTGAAAGCATCGCAAGCTGAACCTAATTATCAAGTTATAGATTTGACATTATCTCTATAACAAACTCAAACATACAAGTCCAAGAGAAGAATGCCAAGCAAATGTCGATACTCAAGTTATGGTTACAGCAGTTGGAAAAATCATCGATACAGACTCTCAAGAAGATTAGTCACCTCCGACAAATAGAGCTCTTTTCAAGTCTTCAGATCATATCTCAAGTTCAAAGGTGGCTTGTGATGAAAACATAAGTTCAAAAATCTCTGACACAAATTCATTTACTCCAACAGAAAACATGGAGGGAATGATGATTGAAATTTTTTTTTTTTTTGCGAAATTCTTTTGACAAGAACCTACTTTTTTTGTGAAGTTTGTCTTGATGTTCTCTTTTGTTGACTACATGTAATAATCAGAAACTGTCGAGCACATTATTGTTGACAAATGATGTATGTAGAACATGATATCTACATCATTAATGCTAGAAACCAGCACTTGTTTAGATTGTCTTGTGTATGGCTATATAAGAAGATAGATGATGTATCTTTTACAGTTGACGACACTAATGAAGTTAAGTTTTATTTTTTCTTGTCTTTCATTTACTCTAATCCAAGCGTATAAGTTGCTACATTGTGTCTACAATAAGTAATTCATTTCATAGTTAAACCCCTGAATATATATGATGTGTTGTAACATAAAATCATTGCATGATTTCTTACATTTACTTGTCACAGCTAACTAGCAAATATTCGAAAAAATATCACTTTGCCAACAATTCCATCATTCCATATAATTTCAAAAAACGTCAATACACATGCTAATCAAAACAAAATTGATACACAATTCGTACAACGCACGTAATACCGACTAGTTTTATGTTTGATTTGAACTTGACAGAAACCAAAAATAATTGTTCTATTAAATTTCTTGAACTCGAAAATAAAAACTAATTATTTCTACTTCACATTGCTAGCAAGATAACACAAATTACCAAATTTTAATGCAACAAGGATGCTTTGACACTACTTATTAAGAATGTAGATCAATTTCCCAATTTATCATAGGATCCTCAATCAGAAACAAGTGTAATAAAAATAGTGAAAAACATTAGGAACACGAACATAGAAACTTACATGAAAATTCAAATTTGGAAAAAATTACAGACCGTAAATGAAAAATGTTACAACCACAATATACATATCTCTCCAGTCCTAAAAGCATCTTCAAAAGACTATATTTTTAGATAACATATTTTACAATTTATAGTGCATTTATAAATTTAGAGAGTAAAAATTTTTAAGTACTTCAATATGTTCTTTATACTTAATACTTAATTTTACTATTCCCAAAAAATATTATTGCCTTTTTCCTATCTTTTATTTTAACTACCTTCCGAATTATTATAAAAATTTTCTCCATTGAAAATTTAAATGTTTTAAATGTATTTAATTATACAGAGCTAGTTTAGCTTTTCAAATTGGGAGAGTCAAGCACATTCTCTTTTGTTTAAAATATTTGTTTAAAGAGTCTTTTAAAACATAATTTTAAAATTGACTCTTTAAAATAGAAAATAAATTTTATTTAAAAGTGCTCTAAATCAGAAACCCCCATCACAATTAAGAAATAAGGGATGAATTGCACTTAGGTCTTGAACCTACGAAAGGTTATGCGATATGATCTAGAATTTTTAAATATATGTTACTGAGCAACAAAGATGAATTTCTCTAAACTGTCAATATAAAAACTACATGAAATGAAAGTACGAGTAATGAAATTAAAGCTAACGATTCCCTTAATCGAATAGCAAAATTGAATTGTAACTAACACTATTAAATCTATTAACTAACTTGAAAGCAATGTAAAAATTTATCAAATTTGTGAGATGTGTTGCTAAAATGTAGAATCCCCCTTGCTAATCTATTTTTAGTTTATCTTTTAATGAAATATACGAACATGATAAATGCATTAAATGAGCTAGAGCATCCATTTTTGCTAATCTATATGAAGCATAGAAGTATATCTCTTTCCTTCATCGAACTTCACAATGTTTATTATTTTGTGCTAATGATCATACTATCTCTATCGATAACAACAAAATTCACAAACAATTCAACTAATGGCTAATAAATTGAAAAGCATGAAAAACAATAATAAACATCCAAACATTCAAACAAATTTAACGTTAATCTAATTATTCAAACTAAAAATTTCATAACGAGGGTTCTTCACATCCTAATAATATAAAAAATTAGCTAAGTATATTGTTGGAATTAAACAGATAAAAGATAGAAGACATCACCAAAAATCGACCATTAATTTTCCTATACGTGTGCCGTCTCATGTTTGCCTTCTTTGTGCGTGTATATCTATTATAATTCAGCCTCAATTCTTGACTTTTCAAAGGGATCCCAAGTTGTTGTTTTATATGTTTGTATATATCTTCATCTTCTAGCTTCGGTTTAATTGCAGCAAAAAGTAACCTCCTTTTCCCCCTAAAATTCAGCTTTGTTTTTCTACTTTTTCCCCCACGAACTCCCTTTTTTCTGTAATTCCAGCCACAATTATCTGTCTTTTTTTCTCAGCAACTGTCGTTTTCTATGTGTATTATGTAAAATTAAACTTTCTCAGCCACCAATGTTGCCTGCAGAAGCTATCTTTTTATTTTTTTTATTTCTGCCGTCTATCTCCCCCGTCTTCCTCAATGTGTGTTAATATTGTTGATGAATTTTAATTAATAATTTGCACGTGGGTTGTCCACTTGTCCTAGTCTTTACTGAGTTTTTTTAACTAGTCATGACCCCACAGTTTTTTGGATTTTTTTAAGGGGAAATTTCGTAACCAAGAAATTAATTATGGCACATTTCAAAAATAAGAAAACAAGTTTCAAATTTCTAAAATCAGATTTTTATTAAAAATTATTTATAATTTAATTAGTTAATTAATTATTTTATTAATTAAATATATTTAGGTCACGGATCTATACAATTTGATCACAAATTAACAATATAATTAGTTACTTATTATTTTTTTGTCACAAATCAAAAATTTTATGTCACAAATTTTTTTACAATCACAATTCAAAAATTTTGTAAGTCACAGTTTGTTTATTAGTCACAAATCCAAAAATAATTAGTCACAAATTAATTTTTAGTACTAATTTTTAGTCACGACTTATCATATTATTGGTCACGACTTATCATATTTTTCGGTCACAAATTAAAAATTTTATAGGCCACATATTATTTTTCGATCACGAATCAAAAATTTTATAGGTCGCAGATTAATTTTTCGGCCACAACTCAATAAATTATAAGTCACAAACACAATTTTTATGTCACGTATTATTTATTAATTTTAGTCACGAATTAATTTTTAGTCACACTTATCAATTTATTGGTTACAAATCAAAAATTTTATAAGTGACAAATTATTTTTCGATCGCAAATGAAGATTTTTTAAGGTCAGAATTTAAAAATTTTGTAGGTCACGATTTGTTTGTTGGTCACATAAGTCACAGATTACAAATATTATAAGTCATATATTATTATTTTTAGATCACACACTATTCTCGGTCATAATTTATCATTTTTAGTGGTCACATATTGTTTATTGATCAGAAGTTAACCAATTTAATGGTCACGATCAATCAAATAATACATGACCACCACCAAACCACCACTCCCTTCAACAACACCATCGCCTGAACCACCACACCGCTAATCCACCACTGTCAACACAACCCATCGCCATCGCACACACTGGTTCGTAGCCTCACGCCATCACCGTTGTCGCCAATCTACAACCAAAACAACCACCACCCAAAATGGTCACAGAGCCTACCACCCGCAGTCACCACACCACTGCCATCACCACCACCTCACTGCTAGCTTTGCAATCTGTAACAAAACAGAAAACCTTTGTCATTGCCACCATAACCTTTCATTATAGTCGCTGCTGCAGATCGCTGCCAGATCCCGTCGTTCACTGCAAAATCGCTGCAGCTACAGGTCGCCGCCAGATCTCGTCGTTCACAGCTAGATCACTGCCAAATTCGACACCAAAAACCCTCGCCACCAGTTCATCAACGTGCAACGGAGCAGCTCCTCTATTGGCGGATTTGCTTCGTAAATGCACTTATTTCACTGCCACATACTTGCTATGATTCTCCGCTTCTTCTGGTTGGCGTTCCTTCTAAGGTGAAATGCATTGAGGATTGATGATGGGGGTGGGCGACGACGACGGTAAGGTGAGGAGATACTGTCAGTCGTTTGAGGTGATTGCTGGGTGTAGAGAGAGAGAGGGACGGAGAGAGGCGATTGTTGTTGGGGAAATATGGATTGGGAATTGATTAGGTTTTCTAGTGTATAGGAGTATATATATTTATTTATAAAAATTTTAAATTAAAATAGAATATCTGGTTTTTGAAAGATGAAACTACCGCTCTGATTTTGGAATTCGTAATTTTAATCTTAAGGTTTTGTGTAATTACCACTTTTTTTGTGCTGAAAACTTAATTTTCTGTCCCAAAAAGTTCAAATCCTAAATCTATATCCATATCACATAGTCCATATCCATTATTTAGTCCATAGATATATCATATAATCCACCGATTTCTTCCCAAAGTGCAAATTTTGAACATGAACAGCAAACAACCGATTTTTCCTTTTTGTTCATGATACGTTGTTTGTAAAAAAAAATTTTAACCCCATAGTTCGAACTGTTTAGGTCCGGCCTTGCATGGGAGACTGTTATTATCATGGGATAGTGCATATTTTCATGTTGCTTTCAGTTATGTATTGGCCTATTTACAGACTATTTGTTTATCAATGAATAACACAGAAAGTTCATCCTCTGTTTCCTTATGTAAACGTTTTTTCTCTTCTAGGGTCTTTTTTTTTTTTTTGGCAGTGGTATTAGAGCTAGTTTCGAGAAGAGCAAAAACTGAACTTGATGGCTTCCGAAAGTTTTGTACAGCCTACAACTCCACGCTTTGATGGTCACTATGACCATTGGAGCATGCTCATGGAGAACTTCTTGAGATCCAAAGAATATTGGACGGTTGTTGTTTTTGGAGTCGCAGAAACAACAAAAGATATTGTGCTAACAGATGCACAAAAGACAGAGCTCGAAGGGCTGAAGTTAAAGGATCTTAAAGCAAAGAATTATATATTCTAAGCTATTGATCTCTCAATCTTGGAAACCATTCTTTGCAAGGATACTGCCAAGGATATTTGGGATTCTATGAAAAAGAAATACCAAGGTACATCAAGGGCTAGGATGCAGCAGCTTCAAGCACTTCGTTCGAAGTTTGAAATTCTTTGAATGAAGTCAGGAGAATCAGTTATAGACTATTTTTCAAGAATGATGGCAATCGTCAACAAGATGCGGATCCATGGCAACAAGATAGAGGATGTTCTCATTGTTGAGAAAATTCTTTGATCCATGATACCAAAATTTAATTTTGTTGTCTGTTCTATAGAAGTAGCTAATGATGTTAGCTTA